GTGCCCGGCTGAGGAGGGGGTGTTGGCTGAGGAGGGGTGCCCGGCTGAGGAGGGGGTGCACCGATTGGTCACCTGACCGTGATGTTCTGGCTGAGGCGGAACGCGGGATGCAGGGTCACGGCCGGGCCTTGCCCGGAGCCTGGGCCGGTCCACAGCCCACGCAGCCTCTTCTCTGATTGGCTGTTAATCCCGCGAGACCGCCTTTCACCCGAGGTGTGGCTGAATCCATGCAGTAGAGCATTCTCCGTCCGGGGTTCTAAACGAATTCATGAACTTCTTTGAAAGCAGAATCAGTGGGTTGTGCTGCTGCGCTTGCAGCTTAGAAGCAGGAAACTACGCTGGTGAGGACACGGGCCGCAAAGCTGGGTTCACATCCCAGCTCCCCCCGCTGCCCGCTGTGTGGCCTCAGGAAGGTTACTCAGCCTCTCTGGGCCGCGGTTCCTCTTCTGTGCAATGGGGGTCCTGACGCTGCTCATTTCATAGGTTATCGTGCGGCTGAGAACAGCCCTGAGAAGTGGTTAACCCGGGCCAGGCCGTGCTGAGAGTTTAACAAATGCTCACGATTAGTATCAATAACAGTAACAACCCACATGTTTCCTAACTGGACCAGTATTTGTTCAGGAAGAGAGGGAGCCAGTCTGGACCCTAACAGAAGCCCATGCTGTCCAGAATGGCCCGGAAACCGCCCGCAGGACCTGGACGCCCAGCTCGGGCCGTTAATCTACACACAGTCCTGTCGTCACCCTCACTTTGCGAATGAGAAACTAGAGGCTCAGAGAGGCGTGGTAACTTGCCCGAGGCCACACAGCCAGGGCTTGTCAATACGACCGCATCGGTCGATCGGAAGTGGAACGGAATTTGATCACGGAAATGCTCTCCCGTCCACATGTGGAGGTCGTTGCGCGTGACTTGTGATGATTCCTTCATTCGCTCATGGGTGTGTGAGAGCCTGCTGTTCGCACGTGTGTTTGGCCTGTGTGAGTGTCTAAGCCGGGGAGCAGGTTTAAATGGTCCCCCGCGCCCTCCCTGTCCTTCCCCGGGGCCACATGGACAGGGAGACGCGTGACCATCACACGCCCTGCTCCCCAGCTCCCCCTCCAGCGTGGACGCCTCCCTGCGCTTCCCCGACAGCG